ATGTTACATAATAAAATGAACATGTTATAGAACAAGATGAACATGTTACATAATAAAATGAACATGTTATAGAATAAGATGAACATGTTATAAAATAAGATGAATATGTATGATTTTAAATCTGCAATCTGTAACATGTTCATCTTATTTGAAAACATATTCATCTTATTATGTAACATGTTCATTATATGTCAGTATAATAAAATAATTACAAAAAAAAAATTAGTTGTGTTAAAAAACCTATCAAATGTGGTCTCTATTTATAGATAATGAAAAATTATGAATTTTGGTATTTTTATTTTATTTTTTTAATATAAATAATTAATGATATTTTAATTAATGTAATATGTCTCATTTTTCAATTAAAAAAAGAAAAATAGGAATGTGCACTACACTCTCTTAATTTTTTAGTTTTGGGGGATGAGGGGCGCGTGCAAAATGTGCCCTGGCACACCTAGCTAGGTGTGCCAGGGCACACGGTAGTACTACTGGAGATTTCCTACCTTTCAGCGACATATATATTCCTACAATACAAGTAGGATTTTGTTTCCTTTTATGTCAGAATTAAGTAAGTCCATAGGTCGGCACATTGACCTCATGAACCTACTCTCTATTAGGTCGTTTAAGCGACTCTTATAACAACTTCTAGGTTGTGATAACCCTTCCTTTGTCCGAACTCTTGGACGAGCTCAACTTACTAGCTCATAACAGAAATTGACATGTACCTCGAGTTACGATTCTGAGCTCCATGACAAGGTCAAATCCTACTACTTAGATGGGCGCTACTACTGAGATGGGCGCTACCCTAGGCTGGTGGAATATGTGCTGCTCGATTTTCATATCTTCACACCACGCTCGGACCCGTTTGCCATTGGACTGAGTCTCATTGTCGGAGACCAACACCTTTGGTACGCCAAACCTGCAACAAATATTGTTATATAAAAAATGTATGACTCTATCCTCCGTGATCTTGGCCAGGGGCTCGACCTTCACCCATTTGGTAAAGTAATCGACCGCCACAATCAATAATTTCCTCGACCAAATCCCTGCGACATTGGCTCCACCAAGTCGATGCTCCACTGCGCGAATGGAATAAGAGCGCTCATCGTGGCTATCGTTTCCATCGGTTGATGAATGAGTGTGCCATGTTTTTGGCACTGCAAGCACCTTTTCACCATCGAAGTTGCATCCTCCCTATTATCGACCAAAAATAGCCAGTTCGAAGAATTTTTGCGACCAAAGCCCCGTCCTTGTTGTGATCAATACAACATCCTTCGTGCACTTCTATTAACACATACCTCCCTTCTGCTTCGGTGACACACCTGACATGTGGTCCAGAATGTAACCTTGCTCGAAAAATCTTTTGATAGCTTTCAAACTTCCTCCCTTCAATTCTTACAAGACAGTGGCCCCCCAATCATCAAACTCTTTGATATCTGCAACATCGGCTTCCACTGCACTTTTCTTCATATGTAATAAACTTATGCTTCTACTCTTGCAATCGACCAAGTTTTGAGCTATATATGGTAATAGATCTACTCGTCCATTCTTCCCCCTTGGTATCTAAATCAACTCGGAACAGTTGAATTCTCCTTGTAACTTCTTCAACTCATCCACATACTTCTGCATTTTCTCCTCCTTTACCTCAAAACCCTCATGAAATTGCCCCACAACCAACTTGGAATTGGAATGCACCGAATTTCTCGAGCTCTTCCTGCTAAAGCCAATTGCATCCCTTTGACCACCGCCTCGTATTCGGCCTCATGATTGTTGGACACCCAAAATCCCAATTTAGTTGCAAACTCCAAATTTTCTCCTCTGGGTGAGGCCATTACGATACCCAACCCTGCTCCTCCTTTCGATATTGAACCATCAACAAAAAATTGTCATCTGCCTTCCGACTGGACTCGACCTTAGTTCCCTATTGAATACAATCTGCTAGAACTTAGGCCTTGATCGCTCTCCGAGGTTCATATGAAATGGAATATTTGCTCAACTTTACCGCCACTTCATTAATCGACCTGAAACCAAGAGCCGACCAAGCGTTTCCCCTAAAGGATACTCGTTTGCACATTCACATTGTGGGTTAAGAAATACGGCCTCAGTTTTCTCACCGTAACAACCACAACCAACGTCTCTTTTTCAATTTGCGTGTATCTCAATTCAGCTCTCTGCATCACCCGACTCACATAGTAAATTAGGTATTGGGCCATGCCTTCCTCTCGCAACAGTACTGAGCTAACAGTTGTCTCCCCAATTGAGATGAACAGGACCAGCTCCTTACCATGCACCAATTTAGCCAACAAGGTCAAGTCTGCCAATACAACTCTTAACTCGTCGAACGCCCTCTGCACCTCATTCGTCC